AATCCAAGCGAATCAAACATCTAACTAAAACCCTTTATTGCCAACTTACAATTTGCTGAGCGTACTTTTATATCCCGAGAAAGGTGCAAGATCGCTTTCTGATGTCATTAGAATCGGGAAACAATGGAAATGAGACTACCTTCAAGTACAATAACATTGATTATTGTTTCCTTATAATACGTACAAATTTTATGAAAGATCGTTGGGGCTTTTACAGTTTCGAAAGACAATATACCTTTGCTAAAGCATGTTTTTTAAAGCAGTTGCTAGCTTAATAGAATATTTTCAATGGTATCTAAGTTGTTCGTTCAGGAAGCACAGCTCTTGTATGCCTTTCATTAATTACCGCTAATCTTCGGCAAGTGTTACAAACATTTTTTTTTGACACTGAGTTTCAGTTTCAAAAAATTCTCCTACAATCCTGATTTCTGCCAGGTTAGTAAATGTTAGCCTCAAAATTAATGCATCCAGACTATGCTTTCTCTTTCAAAGTAAAGCAAGTAGTAATTTGCAAATTTCAGCACCTTTAGGAGATGCTTGGCTCTAAAGATCCTGGAAGTTTAATAGAAATCAGACTATGAAGGCTTTCACGGCCGGTTAAATCACATTTAGGAATGTTTTCCGGGCTTTGAAGCAGTGGTCTATGGGAATTTCTTCCTGACGTTTCGTCCACAACTGCGGTGCACATTATCAAAGGCGATGAGGCAGTGGGCGAAGTGATCTCCCGTGCTTTCCTACTAAGATTGGTTCAACTGCTGGATTCCCCGTCGTATTTATGCAGCCCAGCCGTGTGTGCTCATGCGTGGGGGATGAGTGGGGGTTCAAATGCTTCGGCGCACACGCTGTTTGGCGCAAAACACGCTTCCAATCTGGATTGAGTACCGTAATTTCTTCTTTTCTGTTAAAGTTGTTTTGGTGTTTAAATATTTCGATGGCCTCTCTGATGAGTCTCGGGTAGTATCTTTCTGATTGGTGCAGAATGTCCACTTCGTCGAAGCGTATTTAATAGAAATCGCCAAGAATCCTGATTTTTACCAGCTTCCAGGGACAAACTATCCAAGTTATGCCAAATAAATCAATAGAAAGTATTGCAAAGCACAAATATGTCGTTGCTTTTAGATTTCAATCTATAATTCGGTTTCCAAGAGGTCAATATGTATGGTTTTAAGGATGAAGAGAGCATTTATTTCTCTGCGCTCGTTATCATTTGTCTCCAAAGTCATGCACTACTTGTAATAGTTTGAGGATATCACTTCAACTTATGATTTTCGCGATGATTTAAGTTTTTATGTGAATTTAAGGGCAAAGGAACAGCAATCAAGTGTTATGATATATGACTGAAACATTTCCTCTTTCCATACGCTTGTGGCCGTCCAATTGATAAAGTGGTTATAATTTCTTTGATATGACCGAGGTCTTTCCCGTGTGTGACAAATGTTGAATCATTACGGTCAGTTGGGTTAGCCAGAATAGATTTACATAATGCCATGAATATGGACAATAATCACTCAGAATTTGAGTGCGTTTCATTGTTAAGTGTGTTGCAAACTGAGCATAATTTACTGGTTCTAATGCTCGTAGTTCAAAGTCGTTCAACGACAAATAATCGTTATTCTTTATTCCGCCTAGTATAATATTTAAATGTATTTTTGTCTGCCCGTTAATCCTGACTGGATGGAGTATAAAGTAAATTAAAGTCTTCGGTCCCTCAAAAGCATTTGGTATGGATTGATAGCCATTTGGCCATAGGGTCAGAAATGGTTTCAGGGTATGCCTATTTGTGGATAGATAAGACAGGCCGAAATTAGATTTTTAGTCAGATAACCGAAAAGGCTACGCACGCTTCCCTTATAAAGGGTTTATTTACTTCTTGGCCGAAATATGTTTGGAAAATTGGCTAACCGAAACTATTTTGAACAGTGATTGCAAAAAGTCTCAGTAACAGAATCCCATCTACAATAAACAATCTACACCTCAAATATCTGGCCCTACAATAACGACCATCAACGTACAGTGGAAGGCCTGCAAAAAGGAGTTTAACCTTTTACCCATCTGACTAAAATATACCTTTGCAAAACGGAGCGAAGAAATCTGAAATGGAATTTTCAAAGATTCTGTATGGTACCGTTGAGCATTAACAATTCCACAATGTCAATTCTTTACCTCCGACTAAAACTTTCGCCTTTCATTACAAAACCAATATCCATTGTCTGGTTTCTTGTTAGCTAAACTTTGAAGAAAGTGCGAACAACCAACCAGATAAATTAAGTCAAACTTTTCACGACAACTTATACTGTGGGAGGAATCAAATCTCACTCTGCTAATTAATTGCGATACTGATTAATGTACGGCTTTATAAGAAAAATCGGATAACATCGAAAAAATTACGTAGATTAATGGCGGCAACTTTCTCGTCTATTTCCGAACTTGTAGATTGTAGAAACAGCTTTCATTAATCAAAATGGGCATTTGATTTCCTTTTATTGCGTTGGGGATTTTGCCAAAGGTTTAATTGGGATGGCATTCATGACGAATTGTTTTTTTATTAATCTGATTCGAGGATTAATAATAAAAGGCGTATAATTTTAATTTTCGTTTATTAGCCTCAAACTAAAACCGAAAGAAGAATAAAATGCAGCAAACAAAAATGAGAAATATCAACAACAGTTTACTTGGTTCAAAATCGATAGCTCAGGAAGTCTGTAATTTAATAAAAATCAATTTTGATACGACGTTAGTTTGGACAAACAATTTTGTTTTCAGTAATGCTATAGACGTCCAAAAGCTACGCGGAAATATGGTGCTATAATACTTGACCCTCGGAATAGCCTGAGCAACAAAGTTGGACGCTGACAATGATAATACGGGGGAATCACAGAGTGGAGAGAGCAAATAAATAGCAGCCTGGAAGGGCACTCGGTTAATAAAAGTTGGAAGCAAGATTAATAGTCACTTTTACTGCAAGAAGATGAATAAAATCCATCTTTAGAATGCGGCATGTGAGGTCAGAAGTTAAAATTAGATCTCTTGTAATAAACGTTTTTGGTCATATGACGACTATAATGATGTTAATTGAAGCAGCGAGAAGAAAAGAATCCGTGGAATAGGAATTAATTTAATAGCTTAACCACATAGTTTGCCAGGTTACCTGTGAGTCTTCAGTATTTTCAAACTGCATAAAATATCATGCCACAAACACCGATTGCACGCACGGACATAAGATCTCTGTTAGACAAGAAATAATTTGTTTAAAAACATCTTTATTTGGAGATTTTTAAACATGCGGGACCTTAAACCTGTCACAAAGTCAATAAAAATTAAAGTGCACCCCATAAACTTGTAAGCTGTTAGGTGTGTTCCAACATTAAGAAACCAAGTAATCCAAGCGAAAAAGACTTCTATACTATGTTGTTATATTGCCTCAAAGAAAGTCGCTTGAGGTGTACCCGGAATTTTAATTTCGCTTAATTTTTATCCTTTATATTACTTTTAACCCCAATTTTACAAACACAGACATCTATTAAACGGCAGCTGGTTTCTTGCAGAAAAATGAAATCAGCGTCAACTTAATTCAATTTAAAAAATGTGCATAGTGTTTAATTGATGATTGAATCTTAAAGAATGGCAATCACTCTATTGCTGCCTCAGTTTACAATAATTTACCCTAATTAATAATCCCAAATAAAGTCGGATCAAAACAGATGTAATCATGTGTTGAAAAAATTGCGCTCACTATATTGAAGTATTTTTGTTCTCTGCCTTTGCATGGGGTGGCTAAAAAGCGACATTTTCATCTTTTCGTTCACGGATTTCACAGAACATTAGCAAGCTGATATGGTGGTCCTTAACAGTTTGGTATCGGACTTTTAGTGGCACCTTGGGACAGTTAAAAGGTTTCCTTGTTTGCCTAAATTCCATTTTTAGGGGGAAGAAAATTGTTTTTATTCCTGTCTCTTATACGTGGCATGTGATAAAAAGCCATTTGAATATTTTAAGAAAATATGTAATATGTTCTTTGTTTTTTTTCCGGTGGTAAAATTGTTTATAGACTCAATAGAACAATATTTCGACACTCACCTTATGTGCAAGGAACATCTTATCTTTAACTGCTGTTTCACTAAGGGATGCAATTATAACAGGGTCTCACTAATTTTATATTGATTTTTGGACCATTTGTGCCAGGATTTCCACGGCGGTCAAGAACAATGAAAGTTTTGTCGGAAGAAAGGACAATCACGCGTTAATATAAACAATAGCTTGTTATTGAAAACCTGTTTATTAAAAATCCGGAAGCTTATTTAAGAAGTGTTTAAAGGCTTTACAGTTGAAATCAATGAAAGGTGTCCCCATGCGACTTTTAGTGGCATAAAAACGTTTAAAATTCATTGCTAAAGGAAAAATATTTATAGTAGATTTTAACCTTGAGGTGAACTATTTATGTTAATTTAACGTAAATTGTGTTGGTAATTGTTTACTCAGTTATAACATATTCTAAAGTTGTTTAAAACGCTGGAAAGGGAACATTCGCATTATTGAGTTCGCTTATTCCAGTCATTCTGCACTTGCCAAAACTTTAATTTGCTTTCACAAAAAATTGCGGAATATTACTTTACGAGCCCCATTTCCATTGGAAGTTTTAAAACTTTCCATGGCTACTTCCTGATTTTACGATTTGTTCTTTTTCTTTCGGCGATGGTGATTAAAGGAATAAAGGGTAAAATTTAGTTCAACGATATGTTTGTCGGTTATAATCATGCTTCTCCCCTAAATTCTGATCGTCAAAGCTAATATTTTGTTAATAAATGTTGACAAGCAAATACATCGTCAGCTATTATGAGCGCTGCTTATTGTAAGTAAACGTCCCAGGTGTTTGATTGTAATACATATCCGAATGTATTTAATTTAAAGCAAGTCAATTGGAAATTACACGGCATATGCCAACAATTGATGGCTGATTGATAGTTCAAACAACAATTGATGAAAAATGTACAAAAACTTACCTTTAAGTCTATTGGTGAACAACCATAAGAGTATTATGCGGCAATTCATTATTCTGAAACAAGAAATATTGTGATAACAGTAAACATAAAATCAAACATAAATTGGCAATAAAATATGTGTGCTGCTCATACATAAAATTAAATCTTAAAATGATTGTACCTATTTACCTACAGTGTTAATGGCAATCCACACATGTAGTATAAATTTACAATGGAAAAAATAGTTTAATGTATCTACACAAATAGAAGCTTGAATTCGATACAATGCTGGCGATTCTAATTTGTAAATAATGTAATTAATATGAAATTAAATAATGTTAGGGTGTTATATGTTCTTCATGAACAGGGAATTATTGGTATCAATAAAATCCGTTCAATTTCACGGTGATATAGGTCAATTGAAATTTTAATATGAAAATGCTTTTACTTAAATCTGCACCAACGGGAAAGCAATCACGTTCAATTTCAGCACTAACTTTGCCAAAATAATAAAATAATAGAGAGCTATAAATGGCTCGGAAGTCAATTTTGCCAGTCACTTGTTAGTATTTCATCAATAAAAACTACACGTTCGGCAATAAAATTTTTATTGAAACTTGAGCTGGATTCGATTATTTAAATGCCTCGGGTAAAATGAAAATCTCTCAGACTTTGTTTTCATGCTAAAGATAGCGTGAGATGTATTCAAAATCATGGAATTATCTGTAGTTGCTTTCAAGTTACTCGTTTCGAAAACAAAATTTGAATTTTCATTAAAACTTTTAATAAAGTATGCCGAAAAACTAGTTAGTATTCAGCAAGTTCTAAAAGATGCCAAATTACTGCACTACGAGTATACCCTTATTGAGGCCAGCTAATGTTAATTCAATTTAGAAGTAGGTAGGTACCTGCTGAACACTAGCATGATTTATTCCAAACCTCCAAAACAGAAATTTGTAAAATGCAAATTCATATTACACTCTATTGGTCGAGAACTAAATATATGTACCAATTGCTATCGATATAAAGATTTACAGAACTTTGAAGAATTATCAACAATCAAACGTTTACCCACAAGTTCTTTGTTATATGGAAATCCCCTACATTTTACCTATAAAATGCCAAAAGAAGGATTTCCTTTGCCGGTGTGTTTTAAGTATTAAATGCTCCTGAAGCAATTGAGGAGAAATTCGCCAATGCCTCAAAGAATAATTAGAGAAAATACATTTTTATTAACGACATCCAAATGGGCTTTAAATGATGTGAATTTTTGCGCGGTATTTAAGCAGGCAGTAAATGAAGGAGATCAAAGAAACCCATATTTAATGTGATTTACTCCAAATTCTCTTCAGGCACCAACCTCCAGTGCTCCTTAAATTTATTCTTTCATCAGTAAAAATCCTTAGAAACAAATTTGCTCATTCTTCTTATCTATCTATCTTATCTAAGAGATGATCTAAGATTGCACTAAGAATCAGTTCAATTACTCTTAACAAAACAATGGAACATTTCCAGCTTTATTTACTGCCAATACAGTGAAATTTCTAGCTACAACATAGACTGGTTACTTCTGAAAAATATTTATCAAAATTGAAAAATAAATTGTCTGTCGTAGCAGATGAAATATAGTTAAAAAAACTTGTGACTTTTGAGATGCTGAATGTCTTCGTAGTCGGTTTTTATGGGGGTTTTAAACGAGAAAAGCAATTCTCTGTGATGCTTCCAAGGCCACTAGAGAGGAAATGTTTTAAGAAACATTGAAAATAACGATGTGGTTGAAAGCGGGCATTTATTGTTTTCGCGGTTTAAAAAAGCTGTGAAGTTCCTATGCCAAGGGAACATTTAACAATGCGATAAATCGCTCACCAGGATAGTGGAAATTAAACTTTTGAATAATTTTCTGAACGGTTTTGAAAAGATAACCCGCACACATTTTGTCACTGCCAAGCTTTATGATTCTAAGCGATATAGAAGACGTCTTGCCCCGTTAACTGCGACGCTATGTCGAAAGCGTCCTTAGATTATCTTCTGGAAAATTACGTAGCAAAGTGCTATTCATTTATCTTAAAAACCGCTCACAAAACAAATAGGCTACCGATCTTTCTTTACGATTCATTTCATTTAAATGTATGGGAGTTGGGTAATAATTGTCGAATGCAAAAGAGAATTGAAAGCACGCAAAACATATATCTATATAGTGAGATCGAACTTGGCAAAAGTTCTAAGAGCCAATCGCATGTGACGCTATGTAAGCACAGCTTCTCAGCTTGAATGTTGCAGCGTAAAAGCTTCCGTTATAACTTGGCCAACTTTCTTTAGTAATGGTCTGCATCAATATTGCATACAATTTAGAGAATCTGATTCAGCATACATGTTGAAGTCGGCATTCTATTTGCCTCAACAGAGCCCATTCGGAGTACCCGTTTGAATAACACTTTGGGTTTAATAGTGCTATAATATGCAGTAACATCTCAAATTCAGATATTTAACATCTTATAGATATGCCGATGCTAAGAACTCACGTAGGGGCACTCGAAATACTTTGTTAAAATTAATTAAATTTTATCAAAAGAGATGAACTTTCGAGGCCATTCCTTGAAGCTAATGGGTTTTTCGGGTTTTAGGTCATCGTTCGGTAGAATTTATTCCTGACGTTTCGCAAGTAGGAGTAGCTTGCATCTTCAGAAGTGGTTTGCGTGAACGCCTACACTGTGCCGATGCGATTCCTCGCGCGCAGTCCCATAAATACGGACTGCCCCCGGGAATCGCATTGAAACAGTGTAAGCGTTCAACGAAACCACTTCTGAAGATGCAAGCCACTCGTGCTTGCGAAACGTCAGAAAGAAATTCTACCGAACGACGGTCTAAAAACCCGAAAACCCCAATAATTAAATTTGCTCTGCATTTTTAAAATGTTTTCAAATAATGCTCATGGCATAAGAGCTCTCTGTAGCCATACCCTTAGCGTTGAAGACCTATTTGCTAAAATGTTTATAAATTATCCCGAAAAAAGCGCTACACTGGCTCGTGATGATTGCGTTCTTTTCCGAGTAATTAATTTCGGTATTCAAAGCATTTATAATTTTTTTCCTGGTTTTACGTTACGTGATCCATGTAAAAGCCTCTTGTAAAATTAAGGTTCTTTGCCACGAAAAGTCTGTTTGTGATATACAAATGTATGAAAGAAAAATGTTAATAAGAAAGCTTCCAATCTGAAAATTCATGGGAATATCAGCATAAAGATCTTGTGCAAAGTTGACATTATGATAATAAATACCTTGAGAGAATGCAGAGTAAAAGGTGCAACGTGTTGCTTCTTTAATTAATTTTTATCACGAAATGAAATGGAGATAAATTGCTCCCCGAGAAGAAATATAATTAAGGTTCTCCCAAAAACAATCATTACTCCCACACCACCGGAATAAATTTCTACCAAATTTAAATTCGTACCGGTTGCACTAATATTAAAAATCGTTTTTCCTTTCTATGCGATTGTTTCCGATGTCATGCATAGTTCTGATATATTGATGTCATAAAAACGCCAAGAATGGCTTTTTCTGTCACCATACCTCGCAAGCTTACATGCCGAAGAAGGCAGAAATATATACGGATATAAAACCAAATTAGGTTCGAAAGTTAAGGTTTTTGATGATTCAGTGCAAAGCGTTTTGTACAATTTGCCTTTCAAACTTCTGCAAACTTGCGAACTTTGAACAATAACACAATACGAGACCGAAAGAGCAGACACGGCAGTCATTTATTTTTCAATCTATGGGCTCTAGAATTATAGAATAATTAAGAATCAAACTTTGAGCACAAACTGTTGTTAGCGGGCGAACTGTGACTATTATAGTAAAATTATAATGGGTGGAGCTTGATAACTTTGTATCTGCTAATTATATTAAAAATACCTTCCTGCAGCTGGTGAATGTGAGAGACTTATATTCTATCAATATAATTAAAGTCAACCGTTAAAAGTTAATCGCTAAACACTTTTAAAAATTGCTGGATCAAATTATGGTTTTAAATCAGGATAAAAGAGCTCCCATTCGAATTGAAAAGATTTGTTACGCGACATCCGGCTTAACCGAAAAAAGGTTTTGTTTAAATGAACGCAGCCCGAAATCTCTTTAATGAAAATTCGCCAAAAGAAGTCCATTTATTTTTAAAATTGTCGCTGCCTTTAGATACTGGGTAGTATAATCCCTCAATAATGGCTAGAACATAAAGAGGGGTCCTTGATGAGAAATAAAATGGTTTCATTGCGTCCCCTTTAAATGTATTTAAATTGATTCATATTGCGCATAACAATTATTGAACTGTAATCGCATTTTCGAGAAGTTCTAAAACTAATAAAATTCCCACCTCTCCAAACTCTGAGGTTCTGCTTCAAATCTCCTGTAAAGACATTTGATACTTTTATTTCTACAAATGCCTGTTTTATGTTCTAGATCCCACAAGGAAAAAAGAATGGAATATAAAACACCTTGGAGAATAAAAGTCGCAGTAAATTTATTTCCTTCACAGTCAACATATTGGAAAAGAAAGTGTTCTGTTTTGAATTCCGATAATAATCTGACTTTTCAGACCATATTAAGAGTTAAGCTTTCGTGGCCATTGACTCAGAATCAAATTAAGCGATATTCGGAAATGAATGGGTGGCAACCTATTTAAAATTTAATACAGCGGCCAAATATGTACGATCTATGTGAAATCCACTTCTAGACAAGAAAAAAAGATTCTTAAGGTCCACTTATAAATTCTAATCCGGACATCAGTATTCAACGTACACGCTTATTTATCATACGTCGCAAGATGCTCTCCATGGATCAGCACTAGAAAAACGGTCCGAAGAAAGGCAACACACCTAAGTGGCAAATAAAAATGATCTCGGACCTGCTGGAAAAATAACAACTTATTTCAAATGGCTCCCGCGTCGAGGCGAAGAAAAGCGATTAACTTTATATTTATATGTAATTAGTTTTGAAACTAGCAAGTTTCTTCTGGTCTAACATTTACATTTGTGACGGTGATCCAATCCGATTATGGATATTTCCTTAGTTAATTAGTATAG